TTACCAACATGGGCTGGGGCAAGACTAATTTTGTAAATTTTTTCAGGCAACATTTTTAAGATATGTCTTTACAACAATAGACATTTTAAATAAAATTTCAAAAGAACATGTATACTACCAAGACTTAAAATATAGTGAAATACGGTTTTTATATAAAGCTTTCATTCCTGTTACATATTTTGATGTAATACACACCAGCATATTAACACTGTGAAGTGACAATGACACCATATATTACTACAGAAATCGCGGCCATTCAATAAATGTATTGTTTAGATGCAATACTAATTACTTTAACACTTACGCAGAAGGCAAGTTTCCTGGAACATTGCACGATGCATATATTATGTCTGTTCCACTAGCTGCTCATAGTAAAATTCAAGTAAAATACAAGTAAAGTACAAACTGAAAGCGTAACTCAAATAAAGTGCTAAATTTGGTCTTTACACAGATTTTCATGCAACAGCTTTGTGTAAAATCCAAAAATTAAATTCAAACCAAAACAGCTGATTCACACTTCTCACAAATTTTACTAGAAATTAAATGTACGAGTAAAGTCAGATGCTGTCATCAACTCGTAAATTTGCTGGTGGAAGGCACTTGTGTATACACAGTGTTTCTCAAAGTTACTACGAGTAGCTCGTGAAACAGCCCTATTATATATGGTGCAGACCAGCAACATAGAAACATTTAAAATAAACTTATTTACAAGATAAATGTAAAGATTTTTGGCTTCTGTGTAATAATGGTTTTCCATTACAGTCAGGACTCATAACTCTATTTATTTCAGTCAAAAATCCACGAACGAAGAATATAATAAATATCTTAAGAAAAAGCACGTAATTTAATAGAGCGTTGTATTAGAATTTTGAAAAGTAGATTTCGGTGTCTATCCTATGAAAGGATTCCACCCTATAATTCTGCTAAAGCTGAGGGCAAAAAAAGGTTTATTGCCATCTAACGACAGAATTCAAAAGGAAATAGCAGAGTGAGTGTGAATATTGATATGATTGTGGAAAAAAGTTTAGTTTTCGAAATAATTTTTACTTAACACAAGGCAAAAGTAAACGGTGGCAAGTTACTGATACATATTATTTAATTAAACATTACAAATAATTATTATTGAAATTATTGATAATTAAAACTTTTATAAATTGAATGACAATTATATTTGTAAGCATTTTGATAAGCATTCATAAATATAGTGTTTTCAAATTTAATAAACGTTAATCAACGTTAACTAGTCTCCTTTTGGTAGATTTTTTTTCTTCCTCTTGTAGCCTTCTTTTAGAAGTTCTATTTTCATTTTCTTCATTTCAATTATTTCTCTTCTATACTCTTGTTTTGCAGCAAATTTATCTTTTTCGAATTGGAATTTTATTTTCTCCAGAGCCAACATTTCCTCTTTTACCGACTTACTATTATGTCTCGACTTCTTTTTTCGCTGTTTAATAGTTTCGTGTGCTGAGCATTTTGATTGTGCAGCCTGAGGTTGCATAAGCTCTTCTTCATCTAAACATTTAGCATACAATTTCTCCTAAAAAAGGAAATTAATAAATATTATAAATCTGGAAAACATGCATGCTAACTGTCATATTTTCAGAAGCATGTTTATTGCTAAAATCACACATCTCCTCCACTGATGACTTTTCATCGACGACCGGGGGTGCCATGATCGGAATCATTCGCTTTTTGACGTCACTGTGTACCTTGGGCTTGCTCATGCAATTAACATCAGTACTCTTAATGGGTGTAACAGCCGCTTTGTCCTTAATATGATTTCTAAAAATTGTAGAAATGTTGACAATTTATATATAACATATACGTAATTTATATATCCTTACTTCAAATCTAACCAGAATTTCCGCCATTTCTTACCACTTTTATTAGCACCACCAAGTCCATTCAGACGTTCAGCCAAAATTTTCCATACTTTTTTCTTGACATGAGAACTACCAAATAAGAAAAATATAAATTTAAATGCAATTAAATATTAAAGTGCTTAATATTGTGACATAGCAATTTTTATATGTACTAAAATTTATATATAACATCAAATTTTAATTTACCTGTCCTTGGAAAATTGTTTATTGCTCTCTATAAATTCTAGGAGTACAAGCTTTTGCTGCTCACTTGCTTTTTTATCATTTTCCATTTCTAGAACATATAAAAAAATAATATGTACAAAATTATATTATAATCTTACACAAAGCTTACTATTTTCGTTTTTTTTTAAAACAGACCGCCAAATTCACCGTGGAAAATATTTGACAGAACTCCACACCTTTTGATATAAAAGTTCACCATTCACAGTTCAGAAATTGCAAATTCAAAATATTCAAAATGTAAGCAAAATTTTGTGTAGTCTTCAATTTACACAGTTGAGGATAAAGCCCCCAAGAGCACAGACACACGATGCACTTTATTGGCGTTTACAGTTTATATTAAAATTTAACAAATTATAAATGTGTTATTAAAAAGTAACGATAGATAGATGAAATTGTGAAAAAGAAGTTTAAATAGTTTTATGTACAATTTTCACTAAACAAATAAAGGAAAAATAAATATTTAAAAAACTGTTGGTTACTTGATAATTAATAAAATATTTTTTTCTGATAAATCTAAGCATATTTCAATAGACCTCGGTAAAATATCTTATTGCTATGTTTAACTGTTAAATTGCTAAACATCGAGAGTGCATATCTGCAATTTGTTTACAAACAAAACAGTTCACATCAGGTAATTGTTAATTTAATTGAACACCAATTAAAACGAAAATATTTATAAATAGCTTAACCAATTGGGATCTATAATTTATTGTTCAAAACAATATATTTGATCTATTCCATTAATAAATATCGGAAAAACGATGATATTTGAATTTTGATATTTTAGTTATGTTATTAATAACGTTTATAATATAATTCTAAATTAAATAAATTTGTACTGGTTATAATATTCTTCTTCTTATTGAAAATACAAAATAAAGATCAGTCAATATTAAACGTAAGAAGTGAAATATTTAGGAATAAGTTACAAACAGAAGAAAAAATCGGAATATTTTTATTAGAAACAAAATTATAGCAATGTGTTTGCTGTAATACACAATAGTTTTTAATAACAAAAAACTATATAACTATATATATTTACTGTAATATGCAATAGTTTTTAATAACAAATAGTATATAACTATATATAGCAGCAAATTTTGGAAAGTATAATATATATAATATATACATTTCAGAAATTATAGAACTTTTTCGAAAAAAATACTATGATAATATCATCATATCCATAAAGTTATTTTATTCATGCAAACCTGTAGAGTTACAGTCATATTATTTTTGCTTAAAATAATAAAATAAGTTATTATAATTCAGTTAATATATATATGTACATAAATTTTGGTTTAATTTTTCGTATCGTATTAAAATTAACAATTTCTCACGCAATTCTTTCCCATCAGCAAGTTTGTGATGTTATTGTGAACGTTAAGCCTAATATAAAAAATAGAAATCGTGATTAAAATAATTTTTTAATATCTGTTTGAAGAATAATAAAGCTTTAGAAGATATCGTAAGCCCTTCCTCCAAATATAATTATTGCGTGCGATTAAATTCATTAGCAATATACATTTTACTGGATTTATATTCAGTAAATCTAATTTACTGTAATATAAATTTATTTATAAAATTTAAATGTATTTCAAATGAAAATAGATTGTAAATTGAGTTAACGCTTTTGTGGCTATTGTTACTAATAAAATTGTATAAAAATTTATTACTTTACGTTTTTTTTATTAATAAATAAATATTAATTAAATTTTAAATTTATTTCCCAACCTGGTTTTGTTAATAATATATTTTATATATTTTATATACGGCTACAGGTCACCTTTTTCTAAAAATTAAACGTTTGTTTAATATTTTTTAATATATTCTATATTTCGACACTCCTTGAATATAATTAGTATAAAGATCATGTAACTAATCATTAAAATATTACAAAAACTGTTGTGATTATCTTTTTAGAGTTTCTGATGATGACTCTCAAGGACAGTCGAAGGACATGCAATATCTTAAAAAATAATATTAAAATATATAAAAAAAACATTATTAATAAATATAAATAATTATATTCTATAGACATGAACGGACGGAAGCTTACGTTACGAATTATGTATTTGAAATAAACGTAAATAAAAAAAAGGTAAATTAAATCAGCATAAAATGTCTCATATAAACAAGTACCGAATATTGTTATGTTTTAATAATTTTTTTCATAATATTATTAACGCAATATAAAGGAAATATATTTAAAAAATTAAAATGAATTTTATGTTAATTAACTTGACGTGGTTTTTTTAAAAAAGTTTAAAATAAGAAATATTTTTTTTATGTTACATATTTTGGATAAAAATATCTTACCTTGATCCAAATTATCAAATTAAAGCTGCACTTTATTTTCTTTCATTAATACTTTTGTAATATAATGTCATGGATCCACAATGGTGCATAGTTTATCCCGCAAACTTTTCATAGATTACATCGGCTGTTTTTATATATCTTACATCATCTTCTTTTTTTTCTTTGTTCCTAATTATTCCTCACTAATTTATATTCTTTGTATTATTCTTCTAAGTTTCCAGTTAAAGGTGCTGAACGTTTCCAGCTGTAACATCTTTAAATCCTACATCACATGTAAGTCTGATAATATCTTTAATGAAGTTCTAGCTTATGTGCTTTTTCTTTAAGACAATGCATAAAGGCTGACAGAAATTTATGCTGAACTACATTTAAATTTTTAACACATTTTTCACTCTAAGCCCATTTGATATTTTTGTTAGTTTTTAATAAAAATACCTTCAATAATTTTGTATATTTTTAATCAGAATTATCTTCACAATAAGTTGGAGAAAAATGTTTGCTAAAGAATGTCTTTACTGCTACTGGTATGAGTATGGTATAAGACTTCTAAAGATTGAGAATATTGAAGCAACCACTGTCCACTGTCTGTAACTAGAAATTAGTAAAGAATTAGTTATGAAAATCCTTAGTATTAAGCAACCAACTTAAATTAATATACTACATAATGTTTATTTTAATATTAATGACAAACACACTTTAGAGTTATAAGCTCCTATATTTCCTTTATAATCTATTGGTTTCCATGATATTCCTTCATTTGCTTTGAAGTTTAAATCAAGCAATGTTGAGCAATTTAATTTTTCATATGAAAATTTATGAAAATATATAAAATATAAATATAAAAATATATATGTATATAAAATAAAAATAAATATAAAAAATTTGATATGAAATTTGACTTATTCTGATTTTAGCCATGACCCCAAAAGTGAAGGTTAAGACCACTTTTCTATTTTCTTTTTGTGTACTTGTGCTTAGAACTAGTAAAGTACTTATTTACTATATAATTATTTTATATAAGTTTAAATTAAATTTTGGTTTAAAAAGATTACTGCAGTAATATATTATTTTTAATTTCAGACAATTAGCCCAATCATCATTAAATATACTATACAAAACGAATATGTTTCAATTAAGACATGGGACGTATATCGCAACAAATGACAAAGGCATAGCATATTTAAAAAAGTATATATATTTTATTTAAAATTTTTTAATAAATATAATAAATTATTTATTTATAGCCACGCTGTTGAAACGAACACAAGTTATTTTCAGAAATATCTAAATATATGTTCAGTTGTTTCAAATATAAATCTAAAAGATTTTGAAAACATAAATGAATCAATATATGAGTATATAAAGGGTCCACTGAGGGACCAGAGTTGAAGAAGGCTTTAAAAGCTACAACCGTGACTTGTGAAGAAATAACTATAAATGTTGGTGGCAAGGAATTAAAAACTGATCAAATTGTTTATCAGATAATGTCATATAACCATTTACACAAATTATCTAAATTTTATTATGGGGATAGTAAACTAAGACGAAATGCTATTAAAGTTGCGGTAGAAACACAAAAACAATGGGACCGATCGGACACCTCTTAACGAGCATTTGAAAGTTTTGGAACGTACTACAGACAGTATGACGAGTAAATACAGGCAATATTTAAACGCAGCTACAATGTTTAGTCAGCCGAAAACTGTAATTCAGATTGAAATCGATTCTTCACCAGAACTTATTGATTTCATAAGAAAAATTTTATAACAAATATAAACTTCATTTATTTTACAAAAATGCTGGTCAATTAAATGAACACCTATTTCCTCAAAAAATGTGGAAAATATCAACCAATAAGTGAAAATCTTAAAGTTACTAAGAACTCGATGCGATATAGTGGTATTGATGATCTTTTAGCTGCTATTAGACCTTTTCATTTTTAAACAATTGGAGGAAATTTGGCTAGAAGTTGGGATGTTTGATAATAAGTTATATTGGTATTTATTAATATGAAATAAATCAATATTCTGAAATTTGTTATCAAATCATTTATTTATAGTACAACTTTATATATTATTCCAGGTTTTTGAAGGTTCGGCCATTTTGATGTTTAAGAATGATTGTGCTCGAGCACTATGAACCACATGAAACTGTTCCAACAACAAAATACGACACTGCTTGGACATCATAAATTTGGAAGGCGTTATCTATACAAATATGAACTGTACATTAGAATTCGAATACAATATCTATATCTAGCAGGGTAACGCTATTCTATAGAAACCTCCGACAATTTTTAATTGGCGCATTCTCAATATTATGCATGAAACCAGTTTAACCGATTAAATACCACCCGATGGAACAGTTTTTGGCGATGCTATAACTAAGTCACCATATTCAGGTGGCATAGCCTTAATTAAATCTGTTCCATGAATTGAAATTGTTTTATAACTTGAAATATTATCTTAAATAAATGTCTACAGCAAATTTCATCGGTTGTGGAAACAATATAATAGCAATATAGACGACATCAACGACGAACGAAAATGTTCGGCTTGTTCGCCCATGTATGTACCAAAATCATTGTTGTGTAAGGTGATTTTTCCTATTTTAACTTAATCGATTTCCAATGAAAATTCTGTTTTATTTCAGGTGAAGAGTGTTTTGTTTGCAAAAGCAGAAAAACTAAA